TATATATGAATGACATGCAATCTACACGTATTGTTAGCATGTTTAACTGGTCTAGATTAAAAATTTTGATTGCATCCACTTCTAAATGCGCTAGAAATGGATTTCGAACAACAGTAATGTGAGTGGTTCACTTATTTCAAATGAATTGAATGAAATGAATTGATATGTTTAATCTCGTGGGGTTATTTAAGTGGTGTTTGATGGTCGACGATTTCCTAGTATATCGATATAAGATCGATCATGCCATTGTTTGTCTGATTGTTTGTCTACGAGGCATAATACCATACCATTACAAGGGTTTGTGTTATTTTGACTTCGACAACAACAGGGATGAAAAAACAAAAATTCTAAGAAGAACAGGAAAAGAAAGAACACCAACTGAAATATATATATATAAACTTCAAAAACCGGAAAACACGATGAGCTGTAAAACATAAGCGCTTTTATTTCTTCTTCAGATGTTTTACATTGTGTACATAGATACAATTGTGACGTCATGAACAATGCCGCTCATTAATGACGTCATATTTATATGGGAGATAATAAATGAAAATTAAGATAAGTGTAGGTTAACCTATTTAGTTTGGGATTAAATGTTTTTATTAAATATTTTCCTTCTCTTTTATAAAACGTTATAAAATGGAAATATAAGAAAGGTCGTCTCTCCGCATATGTCCAAATGTTCGCTTAATTTAATCTGGCGATACTGTCGTATATATATATATATATATATATATTTGAATACTCAGTGAGACTTATTTTTAGATGATAATTTATCTACCACAGGGATTTAAATAACGTCCATAGATACTTACAATGGTATCAAAACAACTGGAGTAAGAGATATCTTTCATAGAAGACACCAACCAAATTTCATCTATTAAATCCGTTGCATGAACATTTATAACAGGAACATCATGCTGCAACATTAATTACATTGTGGGCTGTAGAAAAAACATTTCATTTGTATCACAACATTTCTTTACCAGCGATATTTGAACAGTGATAGTATGACATTAAAAAGTAAATAATTTTCAAGCAATTTAATTTCAGTATATGGATTACGCGCGTTGATGGCATTACGTGTTGTTTCCCTGGATCATAAAGGCGTTGGAAGAACAGAAGTAATGGAGTTTGTCTGAAAATGAACGGATAGAGGATTTCCGGAGATGTAATACACCAGTGCAATTTATAGCGTTGTCTGAGAAACGTTAACACAAGCACAACCAAAACTTACTGAAGATGTGGAGCTTGTAGTATAATAATGTCCGTGCGTGCGATGCCAAGGAAGCGATACACAAACGCCTATAGATGGACATGTCATCCAAAAATCAACTATAAAAGATTTACGATGTTATCATATAAAATTCGGAAATGTGATTCCAAAAACCTATATTTCACCAGACTTTTCAAGGCGAGCCAAATATTGGTTTGTTTCTCTGGTGAAGTAATGCACCTGATTCGTATTGTCTCAGCTACATCCAATAATGATGTTGTCATAACATTTATTCCTGACGTGTCTGTCTGTCGATTTATTGCATAATACTGTCTGTATATTCATTCTTGAACACATCACTTGAACAAATTTCCATGATATGATTGACGTCTAACAAGATACGTATAGCTTCAGAGCCTAAAACCTAGCGTAATTAGAAGCACTTCAGGCGAAAATCCTATCCCAAGGTAAACCTCTTTTATTTTCCACGCATGAATAACTTTTCATTACATGACCAAAGTAGGACAAACAAAAACAAAGCAATAAAAACTGAAATAACAACTTCCGCAGTTTTCAATCTATATTTGTAAATATATCAGTATATGTAAACTAGTATTATGTCTGCAGCACCATTATAAACCAATAAATCACTAAAATGCCACGAACACAGTTGCTTACCTAATATTGCCATAGAATTTAAGTTCATCAGACAGCAGAATAATTATAGATAATTAGGCATAGTCGGAATATACAAAGAGGAGTTGGCTTTCGGAACTCCTCGCTACATATGACCATACATCACCCGGGACGTGTCGTGAAATGTCCATCTGGTAATTAGCTAACTGTGTGTTCACAACATATCCACTCGTCTGTTAAAACACATGTTGTACAAAGTACATTTCAGGTTATGGTGGGAAGATTAGAATGGTTTTATATCGTTTAACGTCCTATCAACATCTAGTATGGAAGTAGGCATAATCCTCGGAGTTCTGATAATTTTACCCTCCACTTATACAGAAGACGGTCCAGAAGAAGCTGGGATTCAGCATACAATACAAAATTAAACATAAGAAATACAATTATGAATATTTGAGTTAATACAAAGAAACTACAAAATATCAATCCTACAGAAAATGTATATACTGCTAACATAACATCATATTGTTCAACAGGCATCCTCACTTCTACACATGCTTCATAAAAATCCGATATTACATAGGCGGAATGTAATTTTCTTTGCAATTTTGAGCGACAAAAATTTCCCTTGGCATTTTCAGCCATGATGTTTTAGTCACTAAGGTTTGTTCATATTCACAATGTTTTGTGTTAACATTAGATTAAAAAAAAGAATATCAGTCAGTTCGTTCCGTTGTTGTATGCTTTCTTCTCATTTGAGAACATGACACTTACTTTCTTACTTTGATTTACCAAAGGTTACATGGCTGCTGCCGTCGATAAAACAGAAGACGCTTATTCTTCCGGAGCATCTGATCTTATTCTCCTTGTTTTCAGGAGTATCCGTGTAAAGTTTCCTTTTGTTATTATTTTGTTCTAGTTTTATGGAAGCTAAGTTTGGATTATGATTATTGTGACATGTTGGTATTTTCTTGATGGTTTTTGATGTGTCGCAATCATGAAAATCTAAGTATTTTTTTCGATTAGATATCACAATGAAAATATCGACATGACGACAAAATGATATTTCAACTTCGATATCGGAAAGACTAGAATCTAGAATCAGGCGTTCTTCTATAGGCTGACACTAGAGTGATTTGTTAGCATCTGCATCATATCATATATCTGTCAGAGTATTGCTACGTTCCGAATAACAACACTTACACAATAAAAAAACATGGCTAATGATGCAAAGTTGATACTTTTTGTGGTGCTAATATTCTGCTGATTTCCCCGACCCAATTTTCAAGATAACTCTTTGCTCAATAATTATTTGCCAAAATTATCAACGACCTAGTTCATAAATTTATTGTCAGGAAGTTTATGTGTATCGAAAAAAAAAACCGCAGTAAACTTGGAAACAAAATTACGATTTAACAGAATCCGTTTGACAATAAATAAACATATAATCGTGTTTTCTTTAATGGCTTTGCAATTCTGTGTTTTACATCAAAGATTTTCACTAATGTTGCCATCAATTTTAATTAAAGCGTTTTCACTTCTGCAATAAGGTACCTAGTTACCAGTTAAAAACGGTTTCTTTTTAACTCTCCAGCTTTGTTGAAAATTTAAAAATGTTGTTTATTGGGGAAAAAGTGGTTATATCATGTCTGATTTTGGCTTTGTAAGATATCTGTTTATTATGCTGGAATGCTAATTCGTTTCTAGGTAACAGTTTAATCAATTTCCTTAAATGTCATGAAACACATGCATTCAGAATAATACCGTTTACTGACTCGCTTGTTGATTCATCAATAATGACCATCTATTATTGTCAATGTAAACGTTGTGCAAAGTATTTGATTGTTTTACTTTACACATAAAAGTAAATTATTATTGCAATTACAAATTAAGACTGAAAGACGTGAATTAAAATGATTACAAGAAACTCGCTTTACAAATACTAGGTATTGATTCTCATACAAATATGACTGATTGAATTTTCTCAGCAAGAGCAATTCACTTAGAATCATGATGACAGAATTTGTTTTGTAAATGCATTTTTCTCCGTTTTCAAGAGAAACCGGGAGCATTTTGTTATTGAACGAAGTTGAACTATACTCTAATAAAGCAAATCAACTTCATAAAAACAATAACTTGTCTGCCATGGAAAACGGATCAACATCAGATGAAATTTATTTTATTAAACACTTTTCTTTCTTGTAATCATTCCATGAACAAAACAAAAGTCTACCGGATGTTTTACAGTTTATATTCTAACCACTCTTTAACGAATGTTCTTAACCCACTGTAGCTTTCCATATGTCATGGTTTGTAAAGTGCATGTAGAAATTATTTCATTTCGCCTAATGCTTAATTTGTTGAATAAAGTTATTGAATCACTGGCCTTATGAATATATCTACACATGGTATCATTGAAGGTGTTTGTATTACTAATTAAATTAATTAAATCCTTTACCAGAATCAAAGACTATTATTGAGGGAATAGTACGAACAAGGTTCTCGTACAAGTAATTGTTACATGTTTGAAGCGAATTCGATACTGGAAGCACATTTGAGCTATCGATGATTATTTCATCAGATGTTAAAGAAATGATTTATCGTTGTTTATCTATCAAGCGTATATTGATTTTTATCACCATATTGAATATGACTTGGATTTGAACCATACACGGACTATACTACAATAAGGATTTAAACTATAGCACAATGCAGCATATTTGAAAAATATCAATCTGTAATGAATTTTCAATAATAACAAAATAAGCATTGTAGATATGATGCGTTGATATATTTATAATTTTCGTTAAGAACATTAATAAGATTTTTGTGTTGATTTCTCCATGAACTACATTGATGATTTAAACATGAATGTATATAACATAAAAAAGTCTGGAAATGATAACCCATAAACATGTATTGTTTCTATGTGTGTTATCAGGATATTAACAGGATTTTATTCTTACCAGCTAATCAGTGCAACACGGCTACTGAAAACTACACGAATCAGGTCAAGTCTCCATAACGCGTTTAACATTCTGTTAAGGAGGATACCATTATTGTTCAAGGTGGACGAGATTCCTAACTCGTGTCATTATACCCAATATATGATCACGGTTTTTATATGGGTTTTTAATCATACACTTACCTTTAGCTGAACTGCTGATAAGCTGTAGTTGCTCAAGGAGTATGGTGTTGTTATTGAAATCGTTTATTTCAACAGAACGTGTGACAGTGTATTTATGCTTTTGTAACTGGGTTTGGACCCCATATGCCACATGTCGCCACTGTGGATTACCAGTGATCACAAATGCTAAATTTCCCCATCGAAATTGTCTAAGGTATTCCGCTAATCCGTCCGCCAGTGTTGCGTAACTACCATACATCGACACTACAAAGGGATCACACGTCCGACTGTAGAAACTATTGGCGAATACCAAAGGTTTTTGGTATATCTCGGCATACATATACATTAAAGAACTGATTCTATCAGATGTGAAGTCAATTATAACGTCATATCCCGTATTTGCAAATATTCCTTCTGCTTTATTCATGACGTCTAATTCGTCAGTGCAGCTATAAAGATGTGTGACTATTGTAGAACCAAGTAACATATTGTTAGAAAATGAATTTTGGGTTGTTTGCGCCAAAGTCTGTACATTACTGACAGTAAAATCTGCTTCCGTATCAATAAAAATTACGGCTATATCAATCTGCGTCGCCTGTATGACAGGACAATATGTAACTGAGGAACATAAAACAGCTATAAGACACCATTCAACTGTCCAAGAAATTCTTGTCAAATCGGACAGTCGCACGCAGCCGCATCTCATTGTATTCTAAGATTGCTTTCCTATTTCTAAAGAAGGCTTTATTGGGAACAGATATTTCGAAACAGAGCCTAGATCAGTCCTGCAGCTTCTGAATCACTCTGAGTCAATGGAAATGGCACAGAAAAGTCGGTTTATCATCCATGAAAAAGTTTCCAAAATTACCACGAAACAAACACCGATGAAGTATTTGCCTCATACTGCTGGCTATTCTCTCCTGCTTAAGCACTCGTCGTGCTGATGTTTAAGCTATAAATGCCTTCCATGGGTATCAAATCATGTCTTGGCTTCAGGAATATGATCTAAATATATCTTTCATATTTTTTCCTGTTTTTCAAGTGGAATTTACTAATTAAAGTTTGTGAGTTGAAGCTGTATAAGGATTCATCGATGTATTTATAACTTATAACATTTGTTCTGTAATATATTGTTTCATATATAAAACTGCTTTACTCACAGCAAACCATGTTGTTCGTCTCTCACGTATTGCTCAACGCCAATACCTTTATATCATCATTCGTGACACTGGTGTAATCCGAAAACTTTTGTTTTTGTTTTCCAGAAAAGGTCAAGATGAACTCCAACATAAATTTCCTAGAAAGAAAAAATAAGTAATTTCACTGCTTGAGTTTTGATATCATGTTCACAACTTTCTTGATAAATCTGTTGTGGTATATTTCATCTCAAGAAGCGTATACTTTTGTAGTGGTAATGCCAATCCGGACAAATCACATCGAATTCCATAGTTCATAGCCAACGATGAGTCCTACAACAGCAACACTGCTGTGTTTGACGCATCATATCAGCGTTCATTGGTATAAGGTGACACAGTGATTGCGAAAATTTCCGTGCCTTGCCGAAGTCTAGTAAAAGCCACTGATCCAAACATCAATATCTAATAAACAAGGCTTAATTATGAAAACAGCAACACACCTTCCTCCCTATAACGAATGCTTATCCTCTTTTTGTTATCGAGCGCCGGTATCTATATACCTTTATTCAATAACTTGTCACATGCGTTCCTTTCCGAGGTTTTTAGATGACTGATCCTGTGATAGAGATGCTCCGCTATCTCCGGTAGTTATGATCGGACAGCAGGTATCGGAGCCTAGAGTGACAATAAGCTGCACGAGGCTCTCTCTGTTGCCTATACCCTTCTCGCGTACAGGCTTCTACGTTTAAAAAGACCAATCTCGTATTTATCGATCGAAAATCGAGAAATACATATTCGTTGCCATTTTACGCGAATCGGTTCTCCCCACTTTTCCGGAAAATGCGGAAAGATTGGGGTTTTGAATTAATCAATATACCAAAATCATTGTTTAGGTGAGATTTGATTTTAAGGTTTGATAACTTCAAAGTTAGTCTGTGCGATGATCCGGTTAACACAGATCACTTGTTTTGCCTCGCCATGAGCTTAGGGTAATCCGTCTGTGCGAGAGAGTGTGAAACATCACTATGGAATATCTATTCTTTTCCTCCCCTCTTGACCCGTTGTTCCCAATCTCGTCCAATTTCACTACATTTTATTAGCTAATTCACATTTCTATACTTTATCCAAGTAACTGCAATGATATGTTCGCATTTATATCATGCATTGATAACCTAAATGATAAAATTGTCATAGCAATCAGAGAAATACACTACCGTTAAACCGATCTTGCGTAACTTGATAAAACCGTGCAGATTGTCGTTGCTTCTATCAAGAATAGTGATAGATATTGATGAAACTGGGTGTCTCTAATGATATATGTATATATTACATCAGGTAAGTTTGTCTAAACATTAACTAAAGCTTGCCATTAGTGCTGTAAGAACCTTTTACGTGTTCTTTTGACGATATACCTAGTATTCCAGATTTTATGCCATTTCTGCCCTAACTTGTATACAAAACTGTAAATATATCACAGTAATAACTCCATTTAGTCACATTTTTTTGCCTCCGGATAGAGCTATCGGCAAATAAAAATATAGTGTTCTGATTGGTCAAAATTAAAGAGGACATATCATCATTGAAAAGCATATAAAGGTATTGCTTCTTTTATACGTTTCCTTGTAGATCACTGAGGGTAATTCATTCTTATACCATATTTTCTATCTCGACTTATATAAGATAATACTTTGGAATGAACATTAGTTACAGTTAATATCAATGTAGCCAGAATATACATGTCTGTTTTGTGGATATAAATAGATAAATTTTCAACGAATTTGATTTTCGTTTCAGCTCCCGTTTGTTTATTACGTAAGCATTAATAAAGTAGTAACCGTTTAACCATGAACCATTCTTAATTTGAAAAGATAGATAATCGACTTCATTTTTTCATATAAATGCATATATAAATATAGTAACATGATGTGCTACAGTGCCAAATGCTCAAAACTATCGCAGAAAATCAACATGAATTCTCAAAGACAATCATAACAAAGATGCAGGTTTTAAAAGACATCAAGAGCCCGCACGGATATGGAACGCGTGTAAGCCTGACATTGATTTCGCAATCAAAGACTAAAGTCTAAAAAATGGCATTTCCTATGGGTACCAGTTTAACTAGATAATACCGACATTTCAACAAAACCGTAATTCAAACTCAAAAATCGATAAAACACAGGCAAAGTATGATCAAACGCAAGATACGAACAGATGTCCTTAATCAATTCAAATCCTAGGTATTCATATGGGTAAAATATCTACTATGTCATCCCCCATCACCATAAACCTACGCAAATATCACCAATGTTAAATCTTTCTAGTAGATACCGAACATTACAATGAATAGAACTCCATATCTTAGCCTTGTGATACTAGTGCATTCAAGAGCAAAAATTTAGGAAGTGAGTTAAGAACATCGGACCCTTACAAAATAAAAATGGAGGTTGGACCTCATTGTTCCAAACGTTGCCTTAACTTTCAACATCTAATAATTTGAGATATAAACATGCATGTGTTTACATTCATTCTTATCTGTACCACAGTTAATATAAAATGTAAACTGTGAGGCATCTTCTTATATGTAAATATCACGGATGTATGCTGTTTATATCGGCGATTTGATTTTTTAAGGAGTTGAAAAATTGAATGCAGCACTCAACGTAAACGTAAACTGTAATGAATGCATTCAAAGTGTAAAATGTTTTAAATATTTAAATAGATTATTAAAGAATTGCTTTTATTTATGTATTTTTGTTCTTGAGATATAAAATTATGATGATCCTAGACTAGGTCTTGGAATCCGGGCCGAGACCGGGTACACCAGTAAACGACATAACAGAAGACACGGTGGTTAATGTTAAAAAAGTGAACGCAATGATGTAAATACGGAAATTTTACAAGGTACAAGACATGACAACTTCACAGAACATACCACGTGGAAGTTGCCATGATTATTGTACACCGCTAAAACCGTAGATTTCGGCCTAGTTATTGACGTACCTAATTTTGTGTGAAATGTCGAACTGGACATTTCTACCTATACTTCCGAATTTGCCAGGTGATAACCACAAAATACAATTGAAAAGTTGTTCCTTCTCGGTATTTACACCCTTTGTCACTATAATACATGTATGTATACATGGACCGGAGGTCTAGAATTCGTGCCAAATCCATGTGCTTAAGTCCACCTGTAGAGCATTCAAGTAACAAAGAAAACATACAACTTCGTTGTCAACAAGGCAATAATTCGTTCGAAGAAATGATTACATCATTGCTACAATAAACGTTCTTATGACAAAATACTTGCTTATTAATAGACACATTTCATACTTTTATCATTATATTAGAGAGCATACTAACAAAATTGTCTCGTATATACAACGGAAATCTTAACTGTTTACCAAAATCTACAACAGGAGGGCAAAAACAAAACGCGAATAACAGCCGCTCTGTATATAAAACGCAGTAAAACCGTGCTAGGTAAAGCACTGACCGCAACAATCCGACTTACAAACACAATATAATATGTAGGATATTTAGTTGTTCATTTGTCACTTGGACATCAGATAATGAACTAGTATTTTCTGTTGAGATGGTAACCAGTGGCTGCAGTGTGATCGAATTCTATCTATGTAGGTATTTTCTTGTGTTTTTGTTTCCCCCTCTGATTGCCACACGTCTCTCGTGACCACCATGGGCTTCCTATTTAATCACTAAGATAATGACCTTAAATCTCTAAAGAACAGTGGTCTCATAGCGTTTCCTGGAAATGAAATGGTGCCTTTCCATCTCAGACATGACACCATTTCTCGTGAGAACTATGACACCTTGGTGTGTTACATTGTCAACATTAAGTTTTGAAGTATAAAGGTAAACACAAAATTTTCTGTGTAGAAACATTGTCATAGTAATGTATTGGTTCCGGTTACCGTTTGTCGAGTGTGCGCAGTGTTCTTGTAGTCAACCCAACGATATACGTATGTGTATCGATCCGGTTTCTAGTTAAATTAAAATATATAACACACACTTTTGCTGAAATCAGGCCATATGCCTGATAATTGCATGCATGTCACTTGTGTTCGCCAAGAGGTCTACGTGAACACCTTCAGGAAATATCGTGATTTTTTTTCTTCTTCTCAGCCATAATTAAATTAAATTCAACATACCTCTAACAAGTAAGTAACATGATTTCTTAATCATGATATACACTTTCATTTCCAAATCGAGTTCATTACGAAAAAGCCCGTGTTGTGATTTAGTGCAGTAGGTTCTAGATGAATTTAAAATGGTACAATAATTAGCTAACTAGAAAAATACACATTTTTTTTATGTATTTTGTCTTCGAAGAGCCGTTCAAATTACAATGTTCCTTGGGAGATTTTAATATATTTTATTTTCATAAGTACTGACATTTTGCGTTTGAATGTTTTAAATAGAAAAAACTCGAACATTTTGCTTCAAATGATTTGATTGTTAATAAACAATTAATTAACGAAATAAAGTAAGCCTTGGTCAATCCAAGTACGTAATGTCACGTTCTCAAATGATTACAAGGTATACAACAACGGAA